CAATTCTGACTTTTTTTCTTGTAATTGTTAGTTTGTCACACAATTCTGACTTTTTTTCTTGTAATTGTTAGTTTGTCACACAATTCTGACTTTTTTCATAATTCTGACTACATCTAGCAATTCTGACTTTTTTTCTTGTAATTGTTAGTTTGTCACACAATTCTGACTTTTTTCATAATTCTGACTACATCTAGCAATTCTGACTTTTTATTGTAATTGTTAGTTTGTCATGCAATTCTAACTTTTTTCGTAATTCTGAGTTTATATTTCGCAATTTTGACTCTGAATGTACTGTGTGTTTGTGGCCAGCAGTGTGCCAGAGCTGGCTGAAGAGGGCGCTAGCGGCGTCCGCGGCCCTGTGCTCTTCCACCCCCCGCCCAACTGTAGGATTAGAGAGGTGCATTGTGGGAGTCAGGTCCGGCTCGTCGTCATAGCCATTCGAGACATTGCCAAAGGCGAGGAGATCACAGTGGACTACAGCCTGACCGACTGGGGAGAAAATGCCATGGTAAGCGATCAGAACGCCACTGAAACATGCTATATGCTCTGTGCATCTGCATGATCGCGAAGCTAAAATATCCTGTTAAATCGCAGGGCTTTCATACTTCCGTGTCCCCACACGGGTTTGAATGTGGATTCAACCCAGAGAGCAACATCAAGACGCGGCCCTGTGCTCTTCCACCCCCCGCCCAACTGCAGGATTAGAGAGGTGCATTGTGGGAGTCAGGTCCGGCTCGTCGTCATAGCCATTCGAGACATTGCCAAAGGCGAGGAGATCACAGTGGACTACAGCCTGACCGACTGGGGAGAAAATGCCATGGTAAGCGATCAGAACGCCACTGAAACATGCTATATGCTCTGTGCATCTGCATGATCGCGAAGCTAAAATATCCTGTTAAATCGCAGGGCTTTCATACTTCCGTGTCCCCACACGGGTTTGAATGTGGATTCAACCCAGAGAGCAACATCAAGAAGGTGATTCATGCAGCACACACACACACACACACTCACACACACACACACACACTCACACAGACACACACACACACGCACACACACGCACACACACTCACACACACACTGTGAATCATGCTGCATTGACACTGGCTGCCTTTACTTGCACAACCTGAGTAAATATGATTTATATGATTTATGTATCCCTGGAGCACAAAAGCAGTGTTAAGTCGCTGGGGTATATTTGTAGCAATAGCCAGCAATACATTGTATGGGTCAAAATTATCCATTTTTCTTTTATGCCAAAAATCATTAGGATATTAAGTAAAGATCATGTTCCATGAAGATATTTTGAAAATTTCCTACCGTAAATATATCAAAACTTAATTTTTGATTAGTAATATGCATTGCTAAGAACTTCATTTGAACAACTTTAAAGATGATTTTCTCAATATTTAGATTTTTTTGCACCCTCAGATTCCAGATTTTCAAATAGTTGTATCTCGACCAAATATTGTCCGATCCTAACAAACCATACATCAATGGAAAGATTATTTATTCATCTCAGCTCATCTATAAATCTCAATTTAGAAAAAAAGACCCTTATGACAGGTTTTGTGGTACAGAGTCACATATGATTTACTCTAAAGGTGGCATGAACACTGCAATCTGATGTGCATCACATGCATTTAAACACAATTGCAGTGTATGTGAAAAATAGCAAAGAAAGTGACCAAAAGGAGTTACTCACTTCTGGGTATTTGGTCTGTTTGATTATCTGAAAATAGGAAAGTAAATGGTAAAATATGCTACAATAAATCAAACAAGAAAAGTACCAAGAATATCACAAATTAGATATGGTGTCCTTAAATTCTACTGTACGTCAACATATTTCTCCAGCCATCAACCATCTTCTCAAACTTGTAATAAGAAATGCTGTTGTCAGCAAAACTAAAAATAAATTATATTTTTTCTTGAATACAGTGAAATATTAAGTGTAGTGATATCTTTGCTTTATATTTTTATTTAGTAACATTCATTAACATAAAAGCAGGGTTATTATTGTAAACTAAAACAAACATTGTAGTTAAAACTAAAACTCAAATATTATAGTCAAAAAAAGACATATTTGTTAAGTGAAACTAAACCTACTCAAAATAAATGAACAATATGAACAACAGAAAATAAACACCTGCTTGTCATAAGTGAAACATTTCTTTTTATTTGCTATGATGTGGAGTTATTATTAACTAAAACCATAAAAAATATTACCTGAAATAAAATAAACTTTAGCTGAAAAAAAGAAAAGAAGCTGAAAACCTGAAATAAGTTTAATTTATTTATTTTGAAAGTCCTAAAATAACTACAACTAAATAAACAAAAGCTTAATAAAAAAAAAAAAATCCACAACAAAATTCCTAAAACTTTAACTAAAATCAAAAATAGAAAAAATCTAATTCAAAATATTAATTCCACAAACTAAAATACTGTACCATGAGACTAAAAAAATCTGCTGCGATGTTTGTCAAACAACAATAAAATCATCTTCACACTGAGAGTTCGTCTTGGCGTGAACAAGCCCTAATTAGATATTTCTCTTGCGTAGGAACATTTTCTCATCTGTAGCTATTCACAGCTGGCTTGTGTCTCTGCAGGAGGAGGAGCCAGGTTCACTCCCAATGTCTCTCAGCGTCTCTGACTACCTCACTCCGTCATGGTCCCTGTCTCCCTCCTCCTCTCCGCTGTCTCACTCCGAGGCCAGCGACTCCGACCGAGAGGAGGACGAAGAGGAGGAGGAGGAGGACGAGGACGAGGACGACGACGATGAAGAAGAGGACCTGCGGGACCGAATGATGAGATGCCGCAAGAAACGCAAAACCTCGGCGACCGTCAAGAAGAAAGCCCAGTCCCGTCCCCTGTCCTTCACATGCCCCGCCCCCTCCTCGCCGACGCCCTTCCAGCAGCCTCTAGCCCCACCCACCACCAACATAAACAATAACATAAACATAAACATCGGCGCGGGCGGCGAGCTCTCCCGCAGACAGCACTGTCCCTACTGCGGCCGTCACTTCCGCTCGCTCGCTAGGCACCTGGAGAAACACCATGAGCAGCAGCCCGAGGTCCGAGCCGCCATGGAGCTGTCGCAGCTCCCCAATCAAGACGCCTCCTCGCTCCCCTTCTCCTCTCCCGCTCAGCCCTCGGCCGCCCTGGGTACAACCTCCCTGTTCTCCCGCGAGCGAGACGCTTTGTCCTCGCCTCCCAAATCAGGAGGCGTCTCTTTCTCGCTCTCGCTGTCTCCTCCCCCCGCCTCCAGCTCCTCGAAGAAGAGCTCGGCGATGATGGTGACGCCTGGGAAGGGCACTAAGAAGAGCCCCGGCGCCTCGCCCAAGCCTCCCGCCCGCAGGGGACGGCCGCCGAAGAAGCAGAAGGAACTGCCGCTGAAGAAGCAGGAGGAGGCAGAGCGAGTGAAAGAGGAGGCGCCTGGGAAACAGGAGGAGCAGGAGTTAGACACGAGGGGAGACGCAAGTGCAGAGCAGAAGAACGGAGAGATGGCCAGGTCAGTTTGTCTCCGTTCAGGTTTCATGGGGAGCTTGTGTTTGTTAGTTCAGAAGTCAGGTGGTCTGGTTGCTTCTGATTGGGGGGGAAAAACTAGGCTATGTGAAATAGGGCTGCACGATTAATTGAAATAGTTTAAAGGGACAGTTCACCCAAAAATGAAAATTCTGTCATTAATTACTGACCACAAATTAAGATATTTTTGATGAAATCATTTTCATTATAAGTCACTTATAACAGGCAGTTTATCCAACCATTAACCATCTTCTGGAACTTCTACTGAGAATTGCTGTTGTCGGAAAAAAAAAAAGATTCATAATAATTAAATAATAATAAAAAGATAAAAGATAATTAACATTAAAATGATACAAAGTTATAATAAAATCTATTTTTTAAGTACTCAGTTTTTATATTTTATAGTGAAATGTTTCGTAATATATTTATTTTGTTTAATATGTTAATTTAGTAATAATCATCATCATAATAGAAATAGCAATGATAATAATTACTATTAATATTATTTCAGAATCATATTGATGTATAATCACACATTTTTGGGGGCAAATTGTGCAACACTACAAACAAACTCAGCAAACCTTTTATTGCAGTCACAATTTTATCAGAAAATTGTCAATTACATAACAAAACTACTATAGTATTTAATGTAGTAGATAATAAAGGTAACACTTTAAATTAGGGAACACATATTCATTTACATTTAGTCATTTAGCAGACATATTCACTATTAACTATGAGTTTTCTCTTGATAAACTTCTAATTACTGCTTATTGGTAGCAAGGCTAACCAACTAGTTAATAGTCAATAATATTCGCTTATCTAAAGTGGCACCATAATAATTAAATGTAGTTGCAACCAGTGTTGGGGGTAACGCATTACAAGTAACGCAGATTAAAACTGGGAAGTAACACAAATGTGACATAATGCAAGTAATGCAGTTAGTTACTTTTTTAATGGAATAACGCAATATTGTATACTTTTAAAAGTAACGTCCCCCAACACTGATTGCAACACATGACATAATGTCCATAAGAGTTCAGTGGTCAGTCAGTGGAGTGTCTCTGCTGTCTATATGGATACGTCTGGATATCCTGGATGGTTGCAAGGGTGAATAGCTAATGTTGTGCAGATCTGGGTTTTCTAAATGATGCTGTTGTACTGTGGTAAAGGGTGTGGTTGTGCTCCTGCAGCTCTCGGCGCTCTCACATCAAAAACAAAACAAAGAATTCAATAGAGTTTGGGTGTAACTCAGTGGTTAGTTTTGGTATAGTGCCCAAACAAAATCTCACAGGAGCCACAATTTTTGTGATATCAACTTCAAATTTGGAACATAACTTGGTTAGACATATTTTTAGATTTTAGAGTGCAACATTTATTTTATATAAAATAAAAAATAGTATACTACATTATCTTTACTGTGAACAATAATCTGCTATGTGTCTTCTTTAAAAAGAGACTGACCTTAGGTCTGTATTATTTTGTAACAAGCATTGATAAACAAGTGTTCTGTTTTCAGTGAATTTATACCCCCAAAGGGGCGACGTATCCTGGGGGATACAAACATCAAAAATCAAAAATAAGAGTCAAGTTTAAAAAACAAACAAACATTAAATTGTATTATCTGAGTTCCCATAGGATAGAAAATAGCAATAAATAAATTTTCTGATGTCTCTTTATGGTTTTGTCCTTTTTAGGGTTAAAGGGTTAGTTCACCCAAAAATGAAAATTAGCCCATGTTTTACTCACCCTCAAGGCATCCTAGGTGTATATGACTTTCTTCTTTCAGACGAATCCAATCAGAGTTATATTAAAAATGATCCTGGTTCTTACAAGCATTAGAATGGGAGTAGACGGGTGTTTTTGTTCAACAGTCCAAAAGTAGTCAAATAAAGCGCATCCATCCATAATAAAACATGGCTCCGGGGGTGAATAAAGGCCTCCTGTAGCGAATCGATGCATTTTTGTAAGAAAATTTGTATGTATTTTATACATACTTTTCTCTTACTCTGCGTGTGCAACGCGTACGTCCTACATCATCCGCCCGGAGCGGCTTCCGCCTACGACAGTCAGCAGAAGTGAGCTAAAAGTATTTCCAAAATTTAAATATGGGTATTTTTCTTACAAAAACACATCGATTCCCTACAGGAGGCCTTTATTCACCCCCCGGAGGCACACTTTATTATGGATGTGCGCGCTTTATTTGACTACTTTTGGACTGTTGAATAAAAACACCCGTCTACTCCCATTCTAACACTTGGAAGAGCATGGATGATTTTTAATATAACTCCGATTGGATTCGTCTGAAAGGAGAAAGTCATATACACCTAGGATGCCTTGAGGGTGAGTAAAACATGGGCTAATTTTAATTTTTGGGTGAACTAACCCTTTAAGCAATGCTTGGGTTTTTCCAAATGATGCTGCTGTGCTGAGGTAGAGGGTGTGTTGTGTTCCTGCAGCCCTGGGCGCTCTCACATGCCTCCTCTGCTGTCGTCGCTCTCCACACTGGTGCTGTATCTCCGGCGGCAGCAGCACTCCTCGTTCCTGTCTCTGTCGCGCGCTCCTCCATCCGCCGAGGCCTGGCGTCTGCTCTGCCACTCCAGCCTGGCCCTGCTGATCCTCTACAACCGGCACCGCGAGTGTGAGGTGGCCAAGCTCACGCTGCAGGACTACCGCAGCCGCGCCGCTCCCTCCTCTCCCTCGCTCGACTCCTCGCTCTCCCCGTTCGAGCGCGCCGTCCTCGGCCAGCTCCCGCGTGTTAGCGTGCTGGGCAAACGCGGCCGCCTCCAGCCGCTCATCCTTCCTCCGCACTCGGAGGCGTGTCTGGATCTGCTCCTGGAGACGTCTGCAGATGTGGGCGTGGATCCCCAGAGCCCCTATGTGTTCTCCCGGCCATATCACTCCCCGGCCACGCCGCTGCGCGGGACCGACCTGCTGCGGAGCCTGGCGCGCTCTAGCGGCGCTAAGAACCCCGCGACGCTCACCACCCACCGCGCGCGGCGACAGGTGGCCATCCTGACCCAGCTGCTGCTGCTGGAGGAGGGAGAGCGCGCCGCCAAACGCCTGGAGGACTTCCTGCAGAGGGAGTATCACGTGACCCAGAGCTGCGCTCGGATTGGCCAGGACCCGGCGCTGATGAACCGCGTGGGGAGAGTGGTTCTCTACGGAGAGAGAGAGGGAGTGCTGTTCAGAGGAATGAGCCTGCAGCACATCTGCCTCGAGCTGGACGGTACTGCAAAACCAATCACATACACTCCTGCTCACCGAGACTGCATTCATCTGATCAGAAATACAGGAAAACTGTGAAATATTATTAGAATGTAAAACAGCTGTTTTCATGGATGATTTTTAATATAACTCCGATTGGATTCGTCTGAAAGGAGAAAGTCATATACACCTAGGATGCCTTGAGGGTGAGTAAAACATGGGCTAATTTTAATTTTTGGGTGAACTAACCCTTTAAGCAATGCTTGGGTTTTTCCAAATGATGCTGCTGTGCTGAGGTAGAGGGTGTGTTGTTCTCTGGATTTAAACATTCTTCGAAACATTTGGGATAATGTAAGTACACACGTCAGCAAAATATATAACACTGTTCTAGAGGTTTTTGGATATTTTAATAAAAAAATCTTACATATTGTGCCTTTGATAAAAAATAATTATTAATAATATTATTTTTTTTTTAAATCTCACTTATTCTAAATTTTTCAGGATTCACTGATGAATGGAAAGTTCAAAAGAACTGCGTTTTCTTTTGAAGCATTATAAATGTCTTTACTGTCACTTTTGATCAATTTAATGTGTCCTTGATGAATAAAAGTATATTTTTTAATATAAAAAACACTTTTGAATGGTAGGTTTTCACAAAAATTTGTTTTCTTGAGCAGCAAATTTCTGAAGATCATGTGACACTGAAGACTGGAGTAATGATGCTGAAAATACAGCTGCGCATCACAGAAATACATTACAGTTTAACAGATATTCACACAGAAAACAAGGAAACAATAAATTAATAACACCAGCTTTTTGCTCTTAATTAACAAAAACAAATGCATTACATTACATTACATTTGTTTTACAATATCTAGAAGTAAATTTATGCTAATATGTGCATACTTTGCAATGGTAGAAAAGTGGTTTGCTAAAGGTTTTCCTGCCCTCTTGTTTATATTATGTTACATGCAATGTTTTGTTTCGTATCCATGAGCCTAATCAATGTGCAGATGTGAATATCTGCAGCAGGCCGTGTCCTAAACGAATCAAGACTGTTGATAAGAACGTGATATTAAGGGCTGTGATTTTCTCCAGCCTCCATTACTGTCAAGTTCTTCTGCATCGTAACATGAATTGGGGTTTAGATGTTAACAATTCACTTTACTAAAAAAGATTGACCATTTTGCTTTTTGTTGTTGCATTTAAATGCAAATATCGAATTTACAATGATTCCTCATGAGCATGAGAGCGGCTCAGAAAGGCTCAGATGTGGACAAGGGTATTGTATCTAAGCTCAAAGCTGTGTTAAAGTGTTTCTTGTGTTTGTGTCAGTGATGTCGGGGAAGTCTGGCGACTCTTTCTCTGAGGACTCTGATGCAGAGGCCAGTAAGAGTAAACGCAGAGCCGTCGCTGGGAAGAAGGAAGGGCCGAGGAATCGAGCGCCGCGGCCGAAGAAGAGCAGCGGCCCTCATCAGTCCACGGCACACAAGAGACGCGGCGCTCAGGTCAAATCAGGTCAGCACTGAACCACCAGTTCAGTCACATTTCATTAGAAGTCATGCTGAATCTGAGTTTGCATTCCGAAGAGAGTGTGATAAGAAGTTACACAGAATCAGTCAATAGCAACATGCTTTTTTTGTTTTTCTCACTGGTTGCACACAACAACAAGAGAGTGAAAACCTCCTTAAATTTAGTCAGATGTCGTGTTGCTCTGGTGAAAGAAAAAATAAACTTGACTCAAGACGTGTTGTCTAAAAACAATCTTGAATTCCAGTTAAAATATCTAAACCTCTTTGTAATAAAAGGTATTTTAATTGTGTCATTGCAGTATCATTGATGGAGTATTATAGTTTTTTAATACTTTGAATTAGTTTTATAATTTTTTTTGTTCTGTATTTATTAAACATTTTTGATTTAGAACTTTTTACAGCAGAGCCTGAGATCTGCCCATACACATAAAAAAGAAAACAAAACACACACAAAAAAAACATATATACAATATTAGCGGGATAACAAGTACTTCTCAGGATTTCAGGAGGTTTGATAAAGTGTCAATAAGGTCCAACCAAAATTGTATTGTCTTTCTGGTGTATTTTGGCTGTGGTACACTCCAAAAGGGCAATGTCCATCCACGTCAATATAACTGGGGTAGATGGATCCAACTACAATTTTAAAATAACCTTTTTGGCAGCAGACAGAATCCTTTTTTGATTGACAGACAATGGCAGCGACGAATCATCCAGCAAAAGAAAAAGCAGTGGGTCCGTTTGGATCCGAGTCTTCAGAAGATCCCACAATAAGTCCTGTGCCAAGGACCAGAGCAACACAATTCGGGAACAGTCCCAGAACATATGCATAAACCAGTCATAAGGGTCAATTTTTCGAAATCATCTGAAAGCTGAATAAATAATCTTTCCATTGATGTATGGTTTGTTAGGATAGGACAATATTTGGCTGAGATACAACTATTTGAAAATCTGGAATCTGAGGGAGCAAAAAAATCTAAATATTGAGAAAATCATCTTTAAAGTTGTCCAAATGAAGTTGAAGACGTATTCATACAACTTGTTGGAACTATTGCGGGACATTGTCTAATCGCTTGGGCCAAAGGCTGTAATGATGAATTAAGAAGCAAGGATGACGGGGACTAGTACGATGTATGATGAATTCAGCTCTATGTAAATATATGGATTTGAATTCTGATTTAAGAACATTTACTATTTTGGCTTTGGTCTCTTTGGAGAATGATCAGATAAAATAATTGGTAGAATATTAACTTTACTAATATAGGGAATAAGTGAACGGGACGTAAGTAGATAATCAATCCTTGAATAACTCTTATGACGAGCTGAAAAGAATGTATAATGCCTAGCACCGTCATTTTGTAAACGCCAGACATCGCATATATCGGAATGTCGCAAAAATGAATTAAAACATCCAGAGATCACTGAATCAGACTTAGAGGCATGAGGTCTATCTAACTGGGGATCCAACACCGCATTAAAACCGCCCCCTAACACCACAAGACAGTCCTCTAAACTCACAACATGCATTCAAAATTCTGAATAATTTGTAATATATAATTAATCACGGTATTTAGAAGTGCCCACGATAACAATATCGTGCATATTCATTACCGTGACATATCGCATTACCGAATACCGGCACAAGTCTACTCACAACTAAATGTTATACTTCTTGAAAAAATGAGGAATCACCCTCAGTGGGTGCATATGCAGATATTAAAGATATATATATATATTCCAGGGGTGTATTCCAGAAAGCGGGTTTTGTTGGAAACTCAGAGTTTGTTAACCCCAGAAAAGGGAAACTCAGGGTTTTCGGTTCCAGTAAAAGACAAAACTAAACCTCTCGGTCAGTTACCATAGTAACTTACTCTGTGAACCTAACCTGGGGTGCGTTTCCCAAAAGCAACTATGGTCGCAAGTTCCGTCGTTACCAGTAGATTTCAATGGAACTAACTACCATAGTTAACTAACGATGCTTTTGGGAAACGCACCCCTGGTCGGGAGCAGGTTTTCTTCGGTAAACCCAGAGTTTCTTTCGGTCTCCTCCCCCTTTTTCAAGCGTAAGCAATGTTTAAATGCCTCATTCATTCATTCACGCTGCAAAAATAGCTGTTGCCATGGTGAATCGTAACTTCGGAGCTCCATTGATCATGGCTTCTCATAGTCGTGGTGCACGCGCTAAACTAACCCTACTCCGAGTCGACTGAACTAACTCTATTCAGCTCAGAGTTCAAGTTTTAACTCGGAGTTTGTTGAACCTCGTTTCTGGAATACACCCCAGAACTCCAAGTCTATCCGCAATCGGTCGAACTCTTCCTTAAACGGGTCCCTGACGAAGCTAAGGTGCATCTTTAACTCGTCGGCAACAATGGCGCGAAGTTCCCCCTCAGGAACATATCGCTTTTTCTCCGGCGAAGCCAGTGTCAATTGAGGTTTTGGCATCTTCATTCGTAGCTCCGTTAGAAAAACAGTCAAAAACTAACCAGATGTTGATAGTTTTACTGAGGAATAAAAACAGATTAAGGATACCGAGTCAGGGAGCAATCGAACTACACCACCATTGCTATCGCTGGGTCACGTGATCACCGAATTACTTTCATTTTTGTATTTGCTGTTTTCATTTCAATTTTAATTAATGTTTTAGTAATTTTGTTGTGTTTTCGTCTTTTTACTTGAGATACTTTTTTATATATATATATATATATATTTTTTTTTTTTTTAAGTTCTTGCTTTTCAAAGTGTCAATATAGTTTTTATTGAATTTTTTTTTTTTTGTAGTACATCAAGTTAAACTGACAGAAAATGAGAAATACTGCTCTGGCAACTAGCTTTTGGTATTTTTTCAGTTCACATTTATCTTATATCAGGTAAAAAACTTTTTAATGGTTTTGGTTTGTTAACTATAATAATCCTGCATGTACTTAGATGTTGTTATGGTTATTTTCAGTAATTTTGTCATGGCTAGTGTTGACGTGAGACACACACACACACACACACACACACACACACACACACACAGAGACACACACACACACAGAGACACACACACACACACTTCCCACATTCCCCCGTGTGTGTGTCTCTCGGACCATGTCTCTGTCAAACTAAGGAACTGTTTCACACGCCGGTGTTCAGACTCCGAAGCGTAGCGGTGATGAACTGAAGCAGGTTTGGTGACGCTACTGCGTGACTCTCTCTATGGACTGTTTTTACGTGACTGGCGCCATTCGTTCGGTGCTGTGATGGATCCGGACTGGTTTTTCTGGAGCTGTGTAAACCGTGCTGGATAATTCGAGGTCAGTCTTTCCTCACGCGTCTGCACCTCTGGAGATCTGCTCTATCATCAGAATCAATCTCACAAACAACACGTCCAGATCATAATTCACACTCAGATCAACAGAAAATACAGGAAATCATATTTTGCATAAAGATAATGATGCCTGTTTATATTATCCTCTTTGCTTTTTCTATTTTTCTATTTTTTTTTTTTACATTACCAGTAATATCGGCAGGGTCTTTCTGTGGAAGGTTGTTTCTGCCACATGATAAAAAAATTAAATGTGTAAATGTGACTTTTTACCTTCACTTTTTTTTTTTTTTTCGGGCAAAAAAGTCAGAATTGTGAAATAAAAAGTTGAAATTAACTTTTGTGTGTGTGTGTGTGTGCGTGTTTTTTTTTTTTTTTTTTTTAAATATATATATTTTTTTAATTCTTAAATTCTTAATTTTTTTAGGTAACCATTGGCTTACCTCAAATTAACAAAATCATCTTTGCTGTAGAATGATATAGAAAACAAAACAATTCCTGGACATTTTACTTTTGATTTGTGTTTAATGTTTGTCATTATCAATAGTGGATACAGTACTGTAATACTGTGATACTTTGACTTTATTTGCATACGCAGAGGAAATACAGGAAATAGTGACATAGCGTACAAATACTTTTAAATTATTTACATTTTCTTTTTTCAGAATAAGTTTTTTTTTTGCATTACGTTAAAAATATTTGTAGCTAAAAAGTTCTTAAATGTCTCAAAAATAGCATCAAAACGCAAAAAATCCCAGTGGCCTGTGATTTTTGGCTTCATTTTCTTCATGCAAAAGTGTGTTTTTTGCATTTCTGAGTGAGCTATGATCTGGACCTGTTTGTGAGATTCATCCGTCTGTATTGTGAAGTGCTGTTTGCCTTAACTCTTGTTGTGTTATTGGATTTATATTGATCTCGTCTGGCTGCAGCTGGTATTAAACCCAATCGCATTCTCTCGTTTCTATGCATCATTTGGAGATCAGTGGCGTTTCATTCCGTCGGACTTTATTTTGCTCCTCTGTGCCAATGCGAACACGAGTGGGTGTTGTTTTCGTGAAGTCTCTGGCGTCAGACTGTTGAAGAAGCTCCTCGCTCTCTCTCCGGTACAGTCGTCTGGTCTGTGTGCAGTGACGTATCGTAACATGATATTAGCCGTTAGAGTGTTTCACTGCGTGATGGTGTACATTCTGTAAATACGACTGAAAGTACTACGCTTTAAAGTTGTTTTCTTAATGCTGTTGTAAAGGTTTATCAGATTTTAGAGAGACGATATCTTGACAAACACGGAGCTTAATGTCACGCTGCAAAGAAAACCTTTGAATTTCAGACGGTCGTGTCTTTTTATTAAATTACAAGCACATGGAAACATCAGTCGTGTGTATCTGGATGTCATTTATCACAAGCTCACATGCTAAATAACCTCTGGTGCTCTTTGGTCATTTTTGACTGAAAAACTTAGCATTTTGTTTTTTAGTATATTTTACTTCATGGGAACGCTGTGAAGCTTGGTAAAGGTTTTTGCACTTGCTATGTGAACACATACATGCACACAAGGACATGGTTTGAAAAGGTAAAATGGTCTAAGTTATTTCAGCAGATTCCCGAACACAAGTGAGGTTTATGTTCGCACGAGTTCCTCTGATGAACACTAGATGGAGCCACAGAACTGTGTTCCCATCAGTCAGCGTTT